CGCCGCCTGGGCGGGTTCCGGCCCAGCTCCCTACTCGCTGAGGCGGCAGGGCCCGCCCGGGTCAGAGGTGGCAAGGCTGGCCCAGGTCAGAGGCAGGACCTTGCAGTCCACGGGCAGACTCGCTGGACGCGCGCGCAGCCCTGGGTCAAATTAGCCCTCTCCTTTCCAGCTCCCGGAGGATCTCAGAGCGCCCCCCACCTCCCATCCCACCCCACGCCTCTTCAAGGAAACCTTTCTGCCGCTGGGACTGGTCAAGGGCAAGGATACTCGAAACCGCCAGACTTGTCGGCAAGGTCCTCAGCAGGCACGGACGCCCAGCTCGCCTTCATTTGCAGTAGTTAACATCGACGGTTAATATTTACTGGTCCTCACTCAGCACCCTGCTGAGCTTTTCCTTAAGTCCTTGTGCCCTCCGCCCCGCCTCAGACATCGGGGTCCTACGTTCTCCTTATTTTACAAATGAGGCTTTCAGATTTTCTCAAGGTTATGTTCCAAGAAAGGGGATTCGAAGCGAGCTTATCAGCCTCAACAGTCCAGGCTTTCTAAGCCAGCATCATCATATGTGATGACGATAAAATCACGCGTCGTGGCTTGCTTGCGCATTAAGTGCCAGGCACGGTGCTAAGGGGTTTATGTGCATTCACTCTTTTGGCGCTCATGTTACAGATGGGCCAGCTGAGGCACTGCGCCTTCTCACCAAGCCAAGTAAGCATGACCAGCCCCAGAAAATGGCCAGTGGTAGCCCAGAGACTTGTTTCAGTCCATCCCCCAAAGTGTTTCTACAGTGATTGTTTGTGTTCAACAACTAGGATGGGCCCTGTGCGGAAAGAGTAAAAGGAGGCCCAACTTGAGAAGGCTTAACAATAGACCCCAAGGCTCTAAGGTTTTATCAGAAGAAAGCCCCAGGCAACTCTCTTAAAGAATCCAAAGTCTGAGACCAGCTGAGGTAAGGAGTAGCGAAGCTATGATTAGCGGCAAGTACCTTGTGAGCAATCACTGGGTCTCATACCCCTTGTACCTTAACTCCTTGCAAAATGCCACAAACCGAGCAATAGGACAGCATGGGCAAAAGAACATGAAGACGAACAAGGGCTGCACTGCTCATTCCCACTTTGGTCTTCTTTCTGTGAAAGGGCTGGAGACGTGGTACTCTAAGCAGGATGAGTGAGCTTTTCTTTCATACCTAATTGTATTTCGAGATGACTGCCAGGTTTCCAGACAGACACCTGAAGATTTGAGTATTCCTTGACTGTTCTCCTCCATGTATATTTACTTTCTTACTCATTTTGAGTAAGCCGCTATCACCCCCTTGAACTGTAAGCAGCTAGAGAGTAAATACTGGGTTTGAGTTTCCGTATTGCACACAAACTAGTACATTTTGAGTTTAAATAGTAATAGCCTATTCTAATTTCATTGGAAAAATCCTTTTGTATTGGTTCCAACCATATCTAGGACCCTGCCAGATCCTGCCCTAAGAGAAAAAGTAAATTAAATACGGATGGAGAAATAGCAACTTGAATAATTATTGTATTTTTTTCATATTGCCTTTAAAAACAAACAAAAAAAGCTGTGTTCTTGAAACAGAAAGAAGGTAAAGGCAAATTCCTAGCACTGCTTCCCTGTATTTTACAGATGGCAATGTAAAACTGGGGCTGAGAGAAGGGAGGTCATTTGCCCCTAGTCACTAGTTGGGCAAAGCGAGACTCAAACCTACGTCAGCTGACTCCCTAAATGCTCTGGGCACTGAATCACTTAGTCTCTAGGTTGACTATTTCAGGACCCTATGATAATTGTAAACTAGATCGTTTATTTTGTTTTAGACTCAATTAATTCTCAAATAGTGCTTTGGAACAGATTTTCTTCTTCTACTTCCAAAGACATGAAATAGGAGGCCTCAGCTCTCTTGGACCTAAGCTGCAATGTTTCAGATCCCTTAACGTCACAGATCATCAGTTAATTGTAATTCCACATGGCAACTTACTTAAAAGTAAAATAATCATTATCTCCTCCCCCTCTCCCCACTCCCAGGTCTTTCTTTTAAAGGCAATGTCTTAAATTCTTTTTCATCTCACTACCCTCTTACTCCTAGCAGACAACATGGCTTCTGAAAAGCTAGGAGAAACTAGCAGCTTTGTTTTTGGAGTCCATGATTCCAGTACATCAGAACTAGGTGGAGACTCATTCAGGGGAAGGGAGAAAGGGTTGAGGTCTGTCCTTTCGTGTGGATACACATACCTTCCATAACTTTTCCCACATTGTTCCTTCTAAGACTCCACTGTGCGACATGGTGGCCTACATTGTACCAATTTATAATCCTCGATGCTACTCACAACATTTTCATGAAAGTTTTTTTTTCTTCCTATTTTCTTCTAGGAATTGACCGGGCTTTAATGATTAACTTAATGAGGTGATGATTACTATTTGGTCCATTTATTGCATAGAAAAGATGGGACAGTCATGTCCCCCAAGTAAACAAGGGAAACACATATACGAAGAATGCCAGTGTTGGTGAGATGTTCTTCAACCCATTGTAGGAGATCTAACTTGGAGGCACCTCCTCTGGAGGACCATTTCAAAGAAATGCAGCTACATTGCCCCCTAGTGTCTGTGATGCATAAGAGACCTGATTGTTGGAAACCCCCTGTATAAAAATATGTGCTGCAGTTAGTTCCCTAGGGTCAAGAAGCCCTTAAATAAAGTCTGCTAGGATCCAAACACTCTTCCCAGGCACAGGTACTACCAAGACAAGCAAGATGTGGTCCCTGTCTTCAAGGAACTCAAATTTAGTGAAGAAGACAGACTCTGTCCCCACCCCCATCCCCAACCATTTCAATACAATACATGACTGGGATAGGCAAAGATGATACATGAATGGCTTAGACATTTCACTTTGACTTAAACAATGCACTTCGCTAATATTTTTTGTAAGGCTGGGGGCGTCTGTTGTGGTATAGGTATGCTGATAGGAGTTCCAAAAATCAATCGCATAAAGCATCTTCAGCAATTTCCAGTTTGGGATTTTATAAAGTGGAGTTAAAACTTGAAGGCACTTAAACCATCTGAGAGGAGAGTCCTTCAATATTTTTACATATGCCTTCCCTATCTTTGTTTTCTTGCCTACACCTAATTCAACTGTACAATTTTCAGCAGCCTACCTTTCCAAAGCATCCATCTGTTCTCATAGGAGACACAACTGTTTTTCATTCACAAGTGATTTACTTAAGTCACATGTAACTAAGTGACTTAGTTACACTAACAGGTACAACTGGCGTAAATAAGTGCAACTGGCATAAATAGGGAATAGACACAGTGGATCCTAGTAAGCGTCACCCACCCCTAGTAGGGGCGCAGAAATGTGTGCATTCCAGTGGACCCTAATGTCAGAGGACATTCAGTTTGCTATGGGCATTGGTCATTATCTTTTCCAGAAGTGAAGAGCATGGATTAAACTGGCCAGTCAATTAAAATAAACAATATCGTGGGAGCACAGAGACGGGACATTCAGTTCAACTTTGGAAGGAGAGAGAATGGAAAGAGATATCAGATTTTCTTTGGGAAGATGATACAAACTATGATTTGAAAGAAGGGTAGGGTTTTGCCAGCCCTCCCTTCCCCAAAGTGGGGGTGTGTGTACATTTGAAAATTTAAAGGCAGAGAGATGCATGAAATAACCTGGTATGTTCAGAAAATTATAAGCATCTGTATCGTGGAATTTAGGAGATATAATAGAAGCGTGAGAAAGGTTGTAATAGAGGACGTGCCATGTACAATCAGCAACGTGATTTTGCATGCTTCCTTCACGTTCATCGGAGTGCATTTAGCCATATGGCTGGCCTTCCATTTTTTCATTAGTCATTATGAGACTTCTTGTGTCCAAGGATGAGAAGTCTGGTGATGGAGATGGATATGTACATAAGTAATTCCAA